AATAAAGCTTTATATAAAATATGTATGAAATATCTATAATATATCTATCTAATGTCATCTATAATACATGACATTTTAAAAAATGAATATTAGTAAATATTTATCATAAATATTTTATGTTGTCTGGGATATAATCTTTTTTTTTTTTAGCTAAAATTCCCCAATCAGTACAATATTTAAACACATATTTATACATTTTTAAAACATTTATTTAATATTTTTACACTAAATAAATATTTTTAAATCCAATTTTAAACATTTTTTTAATATTGTGTGCTGATTGGGTCTTGTACGGTTCATCTTTCTTCTTTTTTTCTCCATGTTAGAAAGAAAAACGAAAAAGATAAATCATACAAGTTCAGCTTTGATATAATCTGATTAATTATGACTGATATAATTAATGAATGAAATACACGATATAATTCTGCATAGTTTGTACATAAAATAATAGCTTTCTATTATACAATAATATTATATGTATTAATATTGTATTATATAAGTATTGAATTGTATATGTTAGACTGTTATTAATTGTGGGTATTACATTTATAAGATCATAATCAAAGTAATTAAGAAATAGCTAAAATCGATTGTGGAATCCTGCAGAATGTGAAGAACAGTATAAAATATAAAATATCAAATATAAAATATCAAAATGTAACATTCTATGTTAATTAAATCCTGAACCATAGAGCACGAACGAATGAATAAAGAATAAGAAATTAAATTATTGAATATATGGAAACCGAAATATATTTAATAATATATAACGAATTTGATTGGACGCACTCGCAGTGTGCACTGATGCACGTCATTAAAGACGTAAATTGACAAAGTTATACGTTTATTATAAATATAGAAATCGATTAAATCGTGAAATACTCAATACTTCATTGTGATTGTTAGGTAAAATATATATTTTCTAATTTTAAATATTTGCTTTTCATTTTTACACTCATTGTCAGATTAAATCGGTATGTGTATAATGACTTTTATATACACCAGTGCACACGAGTGTTCTCACTCAAATTAGCTAATAATTCTTCTTCATTATCTTGATATTATCTGCGAACGAGTCCAGCGTTATGTAGCACATTATAAATTTTTTCCTTCGGGATTTTGTCCGCTTCTCGGTCAATTACCTGTAACATTAAATGGATGTTCAAAAAAAAACTAACTGTTCGATTTTAATATATTTGGATACTTAACGTATAATTGAATTACTTAATGCAAGTGGCCGTAATTATTTCTATAGTGTTAAAATATAACGAATTTGTTAATTGCGATGTTAATGATGTAATCTCATAATTATATTTATAATTGTGAAGAAGCGCATAATATGCTGTAGCAATAATACAAATATTATAATTTATACAATTTCATAGAGTATAAAAAAATCAAATGGTTAGAATTAATAATAATAAGTTGAAGAATGTTTAATTATTACATTTTATCTGGGTAAATTACAAAAATTATATACCTGCATTTCCTTATCAATAAACCAGGATTCCTTAGCGAGACCAGCAGCAATACTTGGATTTTTATAGAAATTATTTCGTAATTCATAAGGTAAATTATCTTCCATCTCAGTATTAATTATAACAGCTGGATGAGCAAGCATCGTTCCGGGATTTAGAAAAAGAATTGGCATAGCTGCGCAAGTTGTTACCATGATGAACAAGATAATATTTGTGCAATTAGTTAGCATTTGTGATGCTCTGATGCTTCCCTAAAAAATTTTTGGACTGAACTTTCGAAAATAATTCACGCCTAATTTTTATTAATTCTGGCAGAAACATTCTAAATGTCAAATGAATTTTCATTGGAAAAAAATTTAATGCCAAAAGTGTGTAAATAAAGTTATATATTGCTGGAGTGGAGCTCCTGTTCCTTCCTCCCTCCCTGTTCAAGGGCGTATGAATTTTTACGCAAAGTGAAGTCCACCCCATCAACAAAATTCTGCCAAAATTCATGACAATTGAGCGTCGGTCATTTTCAGAAGTTTACCTAAAATTTTATGTAATATAAAACTTTTAAGAAATAGTTATCTTCAAAAGAATTATAAGATTCTTATTAATAAAGTTAATTATATTTCTAACATAATTATATATCTAACATATAAATAATTATTTAATGAATTAAAATTATGCTGAGACATAATTTGTATGTAATACATGTCTAAATACATTACTATTCTAAAAATTTGTAGAACATAGGAACATAAATTAAATTAAACTAAACAAATATATATTGGATTGTCCGGAAAGTTCGTGCCGACTAAAATTTAAATTTTAGTATATATTTATTAAATTAAAATTTTCTGCGTTTCAATTTTCCTTCAACATCGGCACGAACTTTTCGGACAACCCAATAAAAATACAATAAATAAAAAATTTCTTACAAAAGCATAAAGTATTTTTATATTATAGCAATTATGTCGCGACATAATTTTGATTTATTAATAAAAATCGTAATCCTTTTCAGACAAATATTTTTTAAAAGTTTTATATTGGATAAAATTTCTTTTATACTATTAGGTAAAATGATTGCTATAAAAATATAAGTCTTTATGAATACCAACCATTTCGTATAATTTACTTATAATTCACCTTTCAGATGCTATAATTCACTTACAATTCACCTTTTAGATATATAAAAATTTGCAATATCTTGCAACGAAGTGGCGTTTACCTCGCATGTATTTAACTGAGCACAAGATTGGTGAACAGGACTTATATATGTATATGCGTTACCTGACCAGTGTTCTTGATACGAGTTAAAATATTCGACAATTCAACATCCATTGGTCGTTTACTAGCCCATGCAGAGACTTCATTGATTCCTTTCATGTTTACCTTCAGTTCAAGGTCGCTAATCTTCCGTTAACTGAGTCAAGGGTGATGATCTTTCCAACTCTTACTTTGATCATATAAATATTGCGAGATGCACAATAAATTTTATCAATTTTACGAATGCGATAGCCATATCAGACATATCGATGTTATATCTTAATTAATTCCCAAAAATGTCCAGTAAATATAATGTGTACAATTTGAATATTAAATATCTTGTACGTGCTTGAAAAAGAGTCTCAAATTGAAAATGAAATCAAATCGAAAGCCTGCTTTATATGCATTCTCACAATCGAATTCCAGATGCGAATAGCATTTGCAATACTGGGACTGTTCCGGTTTGCGTGTTATATTTCGCTATAATGCAGTCAAAACCGGATTTAATTCTGATTAATTCATGCGTTTTCAATCATGAGCATTATATTACATCGAGAACAGTAGTCATTAGTTTAGTGTTCAATCCTTCTCTCCTTCTTTGAAATTATTTAAAAAATAAATAAATATTTAACATAAATATCTAAAAAAAGTAACAATTTTAAAATAATTATATTTTAATTTATAAAATTTTTTGAAGATTTTACACTCGATGTTCTTTGTACATATTAATATATATGTATCTAATAAATATTTTATATAGTAT